TGGGGCGGGATGGGTGAGTGCGGTGACAATGGTGACTGGGGGTGGTGGGGGTGGGAGTAGGAGCCCCCTGGTGGCCGGGATCCAGGGCCCCCAGCCGCGCCTGCTGCTGGCATCATCTGTGGGTGGTGGCTGAAGATGAAGTGCTTAGGGCCCTGTTTGTGGGCTGGAGGGTGCTGGGGAGCAGGACTGTACAGGGGCAGTGGGGATGTGGGCTGGTGCAGGGGGTGGCGGCCATGTGGAGCAAACTGAGGGTGTCCTCCAGCTCCCCGTCTGGGTGCCCTGCCTGGCCGGCCCAAGGTATAGTGTTGGGGCCCTGGGACTGGGCCATGGGCATGGAAGTGGCGATGTGGCCCCACAGGTGGGGCTGAGGCGGGAGGCGGTGGAATGGAGCCTAGCTGGGGCAAGGGTGGGGGCTGCTGGGGAGGTGGGGGAAGAGAGGGCTGCTGGGGTGGGAGGTAGGGTGGCGGGGCAGGGCCTGGTCCTTGGCAATACTGGGCATGCAGGGCCTGGAGCTTGGACTGCCCATCAGGCAGCACCCCCAGGCCACCGTGGCTATGGCCGTGGTGATGGTGGTGGTGGTGGTGGTGCGTGGAAGAAGCAGATGAAGAGGAGGCAGAGGCCTGGCCTGTTGGCGGTGGTGGCATCTGGAAGGGCCCCTTGCCCCGTTTGCTTCCAAATAGGGAGCCCAGGAAGGATGAGGAGTTGGAGACGGGCCTCTGGCTCTTGTACTCCTCTGGCGGCGGGGGTGGGGGCGGAGGTGGCATCCTCTGGTGAGGGCGTGGACTGCTAATAACAGACCCCTGGAAGGGGGGAGGGAGGAAGTCAGGCCAGGCTAGATGCCCTAAACCCCCAGCCCTAAATTCCACCCCTGTCCCTGAGGGCTGGAGCTGGGGAGATAGCGAACCCCAAGTTGTAATAAAAACCAAATCACAGTCCTGTACTCATATGTGGAGCTCCCCAGCTTGCAAAGCTCGGCTGTCACATCCACTATCTCATCTGAGCCTCAGCTGGGAGAGGAGAAATTAGCAGTACCTCCTCCTCATCCCCATTTTGCAGGCAGGGAAAAGGTTAGGCCCAGAGAGGCAGAGTGACTCGCCCAGGGTCAAAGAGCAGGACTTGGAGGTAAGAGCTTCTCGTGGCCCAACTCCAAGGGCATCCCTACTCGCCGTCGGCCCTGGGGTTGAGAGGGGGCACGGGAGAGTGGAAGACAGGCTGAGAGACAGGCAGAATGAGGACAGACAGAGTTGAGGACAGATGGAGAGAGTGGTTGGCTGGGAGAGGCAGCCGCACGGTTCTCAGCAGGGAAGGGGGGAGCAACAGGTCCCCTCCTCCTCTGGGTCTCCATGGCCGGGGCAGGGCTCATGCAGAGGACGAGTGGGGCAGGAGCTGGCACTTACTTCGATGGTGCTGTCCAGCGATCCCACGCTGTTACGCCGCCCCCGCTTCCCTGCACCCACAAGCAAGGAGCCCAGCGTCAGAGCAGCAACCCCCCCTCCCTACCCTGCTGGGCTCCAGAGCTGGGCACCAGGCCTGGGCCCCTCCCGGGGACAGACACCCCATTATCCCTTTCCCCCATTGAAGAGGGGGAGGTGGGGAGGAGGAGAGGTGGAGAAGGAGGAGAGAGAGGAGGAAAAGATGGAGAAGGAGGAGTGGAGGTACAGGAGAGATAGAAGAGGGAGAAGAGGAGGAGAGGTGGAGCAGCAAGAGAGAGGCACCAAGACTGTGGCCCCACTTCACATTCCCTGGCCCAAACGCTGGGCTCCCCCTGCTCTGACCTGGCTCCCAGGCCCCCTGTGGCGCAGCGCCCAGGACTCTGGGTGAAGGCAGGGTGCGTGTGTGTGTGGCAGGTAGAGGGAAGGCTGGTGGCCAGTGACAGGAGGCAAAGAGGACACCTGGTCCCGTGTCTCCCCAGCCAGGGCAGGGGCCCAGAGGACTTACCTGCATCAGAGAGGTCTCGCAGGGAACTGCTGAGTGCGCCCCGTTTGAGCCCATCGCCTGCCCCGTAAGTGTCCTCCAGGCTACTGCGGGCCATCGTCCCATTCACTGAGTCCTTGGCCCCTCCAGGCTGTGAGGCGTTAGGCCGCATCATACCTTTCTGCTTCTCCAGCTCCGCTGGGTGGCAGTCGGGGAGACAGGGAGCAAAGGTCAGGAACAGGAGTGAGAGCCCATCTGACTGACCCTAGCCCTCCGTCCTCCTTCCTCCTCCCTCCTCCCTCCCTCTGTCCCCAGGCTTCCTGTTTTGCCCCTTGGACGACCAGCCCTTGTCTCCCCCAAAACTGCAGCTCCATCACCGAAGTACCCTTAGTGCCCAGCTCCCGTCTTGCACCCTCCCTTCCTGCTCAGCCTTCCCTTCATCCCTCTTGGTGCCTGCTCTCCCTGTTCCATTTCCCTTCCTTTCACTCTTATGACTTCTCCCCTCCCATGCCCTCTTGCAGTCAGGTCTCTCAAAGCACCCCTGCCCTTCAAAAAAGAGCTTCATGGCAGATGGTTCACAGTAAGGACGGGAAGGCCCTTCTAGCCTATGGCAAAGGGCAATCTTTCCAGAGTTCAGTCAGTTCTCAGATACCTTGCTCCAGAGCAGAGGGGCTCCTGGAAGGGCAGGAGCGGGAAACTGACAGGAATCAAATCCTCTATTAAGTGCCAGGCAGTATGCTGGGTGCTACACATACTTGATCTCTCTCAATCCTCACAACAGTTCTGAGGTCAGTATTAGCATCCACATTGTGCAGAGGAGGAAACTGAGAATCCGAGAAGTCTTAGAGCTTGCCCAGGGTCATACAGCTGGAAATGGCGGAGCCAACATTCTGGAAGCAGGTCTGCCTGATTCCAGAGCTTGGGTGCTTCCGGCCTCCTTACAGCCCCACCTCCCCACAGAGCTCATAGAAACACGTGTCTACTGGCCTCCCCTCGTCTTGGGCTGCTAATCCCTCTCTCAGAATTTTCCCAGGGTCTCAAAGGATCTGGTGAACTGAAACTTCTATCCCTGCCTTGCTGAGGAGTAGAGTGGCCCTGGAGCTGTGAAGGCCTCACCAAGGAGCTGTCCGCCGCCTCGTCTCTCTTTTTCTGTCTGCCTGCCTCTTTCTCCTTAACACCATGTTACTTAACTGTGACTGCTTAGCCTGGAGAAGAGAAAACTTGGAGGGCATCGGGAGGAATGAGATGTAATCACTATTTTCCATTATATATATATATATGATCAAAATGACTTGGTGTGACCCCTGGAGAGGATAGGCCACTGGGACTCAGCTCAGGAATTGATATGTGGGCAGAGGAGGAGAGAGAGTGGGACAGGGAATACAGATTTTTTGAATGCCTAAGATGTGTTGGGACATTTCGGCTACCTTGTCTCATTTCATCTCCTTGACTCCATGAAGGAGACTTCATTACCCCAAATTCGTGTAGGAAGAAACTGGGGCTAGGCGGGTTAGGCAATTAGCTCCAGTTCACCCAGATAACGAATAGGATACCTGGGACCTAAAACTACAGTCCTACCTCTAATACTCTGATTCTTCTCCCTGATACCTTTCACTAGAAGGAATAGTTGGCTCATAATTAGAGTTTGGGATAATAATGGGGCTGGGAGGTAATGAGCCCCTTGTCACTGAAAGTATTCAAGCAGAGGCTGAAGAATTCTTGAAATGAGCATGGGAAGGTTGGACAAGCTAACCCTCAACTCTGAGATTCTCAGAGGATAGGATTCTTGGTTTCTGCAGGGCACTGTTTCAGGAGATGGGGGAGGAGACGTGGCTGGGCTACTCACACTCCACACGGTATTTCTCCATCTCCTGCACCTCCGCAATGGATTCGCGCAGGTCGGATGTAAAGCGCAGCCGGTCCTGGAGGCTGGGGGCATTGAAGATGATGAGGACTTTTCGCTCCCCACCAGGTACTGCAGACAGCAACTTGATCCCAAACTGGTAATCTGTGGAGAAAGGGGAGACTGGGCACCTCTGTTGGGATTGGTGGAGGTGGCTCATACTTAAAATAATTTTTCTTTTCTGTTCTTTTTTTCCTGAGATAACATCTCTCTGTCACCCAGGCTGGAGTGCACTGGTGTCATTATGGCTCACTGCGGCCTTGAACTCCTGGGCTCAAGTGATCCTTCTGCCTCAAGCCTCCTGAGTAGCTGGGACCATGGGCACGCACCATATGTGCAGATAATTTTTTTATTTTCAGTAGAGATGGGGTCTTACTATATTGCCCAGGTTGGTTTCGAATTCCTGGGCTCAAGCAATCCTCCTGCCTTGGCCTCCCAAAGTGCTGGGATTACAGGTGTGAGCCGCCACACCTAGCCCATGAAATAATTTTTCTACTGTCTAACTCTGATCATGCCTCTTCTCCATTTGAGCATATTTAGCAGCTCCCCTTTGCCCCAAAGCCCTCAAACTCCTGGTAGCTGTGGCCCCCTTACTTCCTGTACTGCAGGATGTAAAGGCATACAATTCTGCACTGCTGTCTTGAAACTCTTTCCTTCTCACCTCTACCTCAACTCACATTGCTACTGCTGCCCAGAGTACCATGAAACAAAGCTCCTCCTGGTTCATCCTTCAGAGCACAGCGTGATCACCATCTCTTTGGCCCACCAGAGAACACATGCACTGTGGTTCTCTGCAAGACTATGAGCTAACCAGGGGCTAGACCCGAGTCATACTCCACCCTGGCCTGTCCCTCATCCTGGGACCAAGTAGGTGCTTCGGAGACCCTTAGCGTGGTTGTAAGGGACTCCAAAAACTGGAGCTGGTAGAGATGACGGGTGAGCATGGGGGCCATGACATAGACTCTTGGGAGCTGGGATCCAAGAAGGGACTCACATGAATTCTGGAAGAGCTGCATGTGCATTTCCACGAGGGGGAAAGACTGACGGAAACTGTACGTCACCAAGATCTTCTTCTTCTGGAAAATTTTGGTGACCTTTGGCAGGGGTGGGAAAAAGACAAGAGGCAGCGTTTTGGGTGGGGAATTTCCACGTGGCACCTATTTCTGGTAACCACCCTCCCCTCCCACCCCATTAACAGACATACACACACAAATACACATGCCCACAAGCTGAGGAGAATGGCAGCTTGAGGGACAGAATGGGAGACATGGAAGAAAACGCAAGTTCCTGATGTAATGACCACGCACCACAGACATTTACCACATTTCCAGGAACTAACTGAATCCTGCTCCCTCCAGGAAGCCTGCTCCAACATCCCACAGAGATTTGTAAACCCCTTTTCTGAGCACCGGAATGATGATTCAGTACCTTTCCCTTGTCAGGCGCTATGCTAGTCCTCTGAGTGTGTGATCACCCCCTGCTGGACTGGAAGGCAGGAGTCTGGTTGTCGGGTTCTGTCACCGGGCCTCACCAGAGCCTGCACTTAATGGCAATCTCTGCTGAACCCATGTAGAGAGTTAACAAGTCTTCCTCTCAACAACCCAACGTCTTTGTCGAGTACTTGGGCACTCTGGACTCAACTAACACAGGTTGCAAACACCTCAGGCGGTCTGCAAGTGGCTCGTAAAAGGAAATGTTTTGATTTCAGGATGGCATAATGACACAAAGCACTTTTTTAGGTCCTTTGGGCTGTGAGCTCCCTGAGAACAGGGACTAATTCTGATTCATCCTGGCATACCCAGTGCCTAGCATACAGCTGGACACACACCAGTTTCAGTACCTGAGGGATGTCTACACATTGACTGTGTGGGCCAGGTACTCCTTGGGGTAAGGCAGATTCCACATATAACCTCTTATTTCATTTCATCCTCATAACAACCCTGTGAGGTAGGGGTTAGCTCCATTTCACAGAGGAGGAAACTAAGGCTCAGAGGGAGCATGGAAATACTTCAGCTAAAGCAGCAATCCTCAACTGGGGGTGATATTGCCCCCAGAGGACATGGAGCAATATCTGGAGACATTTTTGGTCGAAGGGTTGCTACTAGCACCTAATAGGTAGAGACCAGGGTGCTGCTAAACATCCTACAGTGTACAGGATAGTCCCTGCAAAGAATTATCCAGCCTCAAATATCAACAGTGATGAGACTGAGAAACCCTGCTCTAAAGGAGAGACCACAGTGGGAACAGGATCACTGTCCTCAAAACCCTGGATAGTTGTCTTGGAGCAGAAGGACAACACTTGTTCTTTGTGATGCCAAAGGTTAAGTGCAGATGGTTGGAAGAAACCCACAGGGAGACAGATTCTATCAGTCAGAGCTGCCTAACAAGGCAACTGGCTGCCTTAGAGGAAAGCGGCTTTCTGTCCCTGCAGTCATACATCCAGTGGGCCATCTAGGAAGCTGGACCCTGAAAGTCCCTTCCAACCAGCAAAGTCCTAAGAGTCCCATCCCTAAAAGACAAACATCTCTATTTGTAATGAGCTCAGTTTTAAGAATCACTTCAAGCATCTTTTTTTTTTTTTTTTCTTTTTTTTAGACAGAGTTTCACTTGTCGCCCAGGCTGGAGTGCAATGGAGAGATCTCAGCTCACTGCAACCTCCGCCTCCTGGGTTCAAGCGATTCTCCTGCCTCAGCCTCCCCAGTGGCTGGGACTACAGGCACGAACCACTATGCCTAGCTAATTTTTTATATTTTTAGTAGAGACGAGGTTTCTCCATGTTGGCCAGGCTGGTCTCGAACTCCTGACCTCAGGTGATCCACCCGCCTCGGCATCCTAAAGCATTGGGATTACAGGCATGAGCCACCGTGCCTGGCCCAAGCATCTTTTTCAAATTTTGTTTTTATTATTTGTGTATTTATTTATTTATTTATTTAATTTTTTGAGACAGGATCTGGCTCTGTTGCCCAGGTTGGAATGCAGTGGTACAATCACAGCACACTGCAACCTCTGCCTCCCGGGCTCAAGTGATCCTCCTGACTCAGCCTCCCAAGTAGCTGGGACTACACACAACAGGTACACACCACCATGCCTGGCTAATTTTCGTATTTTTTGTGGAGACAGGGTTTCGACATGTTGCCCAAGCTGGTCTCAAAACTCCTGGGCTCAAGTGATTCAAACTGCCTTGGCCTCCCAAAGTTCTGGAACTGTAGGCGTGAGCCATGGTGCCCGGCCCACTTCAAGCATCTTGATTACTGAAGATTTCTAGCCTGACCTGGGGGTCACAGGTTCACCCCTCTTCACACAACCCTATGGGCTACTGAGGTGCACAAGGATATTTCCTACCACTTCCCAGGTTGTAAGTCTGTCATCCCTTTGGTCCTCATATATTCTGTCCCTGTGCGTCTGTTACTATCTCCAAAGGAATCTGTGAGGAAAAGGAGGGGCAGAGAAGGCCTGGGCCTTGCCTGAGACCATGCGGATGGCATGGCAGAACACCTCGCCTGCGACACTCCACACACCACACCACACACCAACATCAACATGGCTCACACCAGACTCAGGTGTCAACCTCACTATCCCCCTTCCATCTCCTCCCCCACAGTGCTCATACCACAAGGAGATCATTGAAGAGGAAGACCTCTCGCTGATGCAACCCTAGCCTCTGGGGGCGGTTTGGATCTGGCACCTCATAGAGCTGGCAGCAGCAAACCAGTCGACGGTGAGGGAGAGACAGGACCTAGACAGGCATGGAGAAACAGGTGTCAGCAAGGCCAGCCCACAGCTTCAGGCCTCCTGGCACCTTAAGTTTCAACCGCAAAAAGTTTACCTCTCATACATGTGTATCACTCTGACACAAGGGGTATCAGCAACTAAGGCCTAAACTTTTCTTCTACCTTGCCTTTGTCTCTCTGTCTGGAATATCTTTCTTGTCCAGCTCTGCATGGTCATATTTCAACTCCCCTTCAAATTTCCATCCCAGCCAGGCATGATGGCTCACGCCTGTAATCCCAGAACTTTGGGAGGCCGAGGTGAGCGGATCACCTGAGGTCAGGGGTTCGAGACCAGCCTGGCCAACATGATGAAACCCCGTCTCTACTAAAAACACAAAAATTAGCTGGGTATGATGGTTGGCGCCTGCAATCCCAGATACTCAGTAGGCTGAGGCAGGAGAATCGTTTGAACCCAGGTGGTGGAGGTTGCAATGAGCCAAGATCATGCCAGTGCACTCCTGCCTGAGTGACAGAGTGAAACTCCATCTCAAAAAAAAAAAAAAAAAAAAAAAAATTCAATCCCAAAATTATCTCTTCCAAGAAGCCTTCCCTGATTTCTCCAGGCTGAAAATGGCCTCTTTCTCCTTTCTCCTCTCCTAAACTGGACCATAAGGCAGAAGTATTATATGTGTCTTTGTCTCACACCCCAACTGGTCTGTGAGTGCCCCCAAGGACAGAGACCACGTCTGATTCATATATATGAATGCCCAGCACCAACTCTGGTGCCCAGTAAAATGCTGGGCTCAGTGGAAAGGTATCCACAAATGTTTGTTGGCTAAAGCCTGTTCTTTTTTTTTTTTTTCTATTTTTCAGATGGAGCCTTGCTCTGTCACCCAGGCTGGAGTGCGTTGGCACGATCTCAGCTCACTGCAACCTCCACCTCCTGGGATCAAGCGATTCTCCTGCCTCAGCCTCCTGAGTAACTGGAACTCCAGGCATGCACCACGACGCCTGGCTAATTTTTGTATTTTTAGTAGAGACAGGTTTTGCGATGATAGCCAGGCTGGTCTGGAACTCCTGACCTGAGGTGATCCGCCCACCTCGGCCTCCCAAAGTGCTGGGATTACAGGCACAAGCCATTGCACCTGGCCTAAAGTGTGTTCTTGCTTTGGTTTTCTGATAACCATTAGCTTGGCCCTTCACTTAGGATGGACAGGCAAAGCCAGAGGCGAAAACGATGTTAATATTTATTCAGTACCCACTATGGGCCTTGGAATGTGCTCGATGCATTCACTCTGCATCACAGCCTTCTGAGGAATGCATTATCACCCACTCCGTATTGCAGGTAAAGGGCACCTGGGGTTCAGGGAGGTGCAGTGACTCAGGAGGTGTACTTAGTGGCAGAGGCAGACCTGAACCCTGGCCCCTCTGCAGCCTTCCAAGGCACTTACTGGTTTCTTTCCAACAATCATGCGCTCCACAGCCTGCACCTGGGACACATGGTCATCGTTGGTCCGCAGTTCACGCCCCTGGATGCGCTGGTAGATGCCCACCAGGAGGTCTCGGGGGATGTCTTCACCATTGTCAACCCCTAGGGGAGGGAGTAACACAGGGATATGTCACATAATTATGGGCACTGGGTGGTAGGGATGCTCCACAACTCCCACACCCAGGCACGGGCCATGACAGTCAAGACTGAGGGTCAGTGGGTATCCTCAGCCCCTTAGCCAGGATTGGGGCAGGGAGGATGTCCTTCAACACAACAGCCAGTTGCTGTCTTCCCCAGGGTGGGAAATTTTCTCTCAACAACTCAGAATACACTGTAATTAAAACAATCAGACACTATTGTTTGCCTTTCTAATTAGCAAAAATAATTTTAAATGAAATCCAGTGCTAGGAAGAGTGCAGGGAAGTGGGCATGTATGGTAACATAACTCTTTTGGAAGGTAATTTGGCAAGAATCTAAATGTTTGTACACAGTGATTCTTTTTCTAGGAATCTACCTTAAGGAACTACTCAGAAATATGTGCAAGATGTATGTGCAAGAATGCTAGTGCAGGCCGGGCATGGTGGCTCATACCTGTAATCCCAGCACTTTGGGAGACCGAGGCGGGCAGATCATGAGGTCAGGAGATCAAGACCATCCTGGCCAACATGGTGAAACCTCATCTCTGCTAAAAATACAAAAAATTAGCCAGGCGTGGCAGCGTGTGCCTGTAGTCCCAGTTATTCGGGAGGCTGAGGCAGAATTGCTTGAACCCGGGAGGCAGAGGCTGTAGTGAGCCAAGATCGGGCCACTGCACTCCAGCCTGAGCAACAAGATTGAGACTCTGTCTAAAAAAAAAAAAAAGAAAAAAAAAAGAAAAAAAAGATTTCTAGGACAGGCGTAGTGTAATCCCAGCACTTTGGGAGGCTGAGGCAGGTGGATCGCTCGAGCCCAGGAATTCGAGAGCCAACCTGGGCAACATGGCAAAATCCCATCTCTACAAAAAATACAAAAATTAGCTGGGTGTGGTGGCACACACCCGTGGTCCCAGCTACTTGGGAGGCTGAAGTGGGATACTAGCTTGAGCCTGGGAGGAGGAGGTTGCAGTCAACCATGATTGCACCACTGCACTCCAGCCTGGGCAACAGAGCAAGACCCTGTCTCAAAAAAAAAAAAAATAAAAAGAATACTCACCAAGTGTTACTTATGGGGACAGTTTGAAACAACCTAAATTTTAACAATAGAGGAACAGTTAAGTAAAGGATAGTATATCCATTTAATAAAATAGTGCACAGCTATTAAAAACTTGACATTTACAAAAACATTTCGATAGCTTGAGAAAATTACAGTAGCAAATTATGTGAAAAGAGTAAGACAAATTGCATGTATGGTATGATCTGAACTATATAAAAAGTTACATATGCATGGGGGAAAAGATTAGAACGCACCAAAACATTAACTATGACTGCCTCTAGGGGGCAAATTTTGGGTGATAAAAAGAAATTTTCTAATTTTCTGAATCTTCCAACATTTCTGAAACAAGTATGTATTACCTTCATTTATTTGCTTCTTTATTTAATAATTAGAGGGGAGGCCGGGCACGGTGGCTCAAGCCTGTAATCCCAGCACTTTGGGAGGCCGAGACGGGCAGATCACGAGGTCAGGAGATCGAGACCATCCTGGCTAACACAGTGAAACCCCGTCTCTACTAAAAAACACAAAAAACTAGCCGGGCGAGGTGGTGGGTGCCTGTGGTCCCAGCTACTCGGGAGGCTGAGGCAGGAGAATGGCGTAAACCCGGGAGGCGGAGCTTGCAGTGAGCTGAGATCCGGCCACTGCACTCCAGCCTGGGCGACAGAGCAAGCCTCTGTCTCAAAAAAATAAAAAATAATAATAATAATAATTAGAGGGGAAAAGATACACACACACACACACACACACACACACACACACACACACATTGAGAGACAGAGGGAAAAAGAATGGATGAATGAATGATGGCAAAATTATAGGAGACAACTCCAAATGGCCTCTGATCTAACTCCCTCCTCCCATCTTCACCATCCTTCTCCATTTCTGATTGCTGAGTGAAACCTACTCACTCTTCTCTCTAAATCCTCTACTAGAGAAAATGTTTTCTGGGCAGGACGTGGAGGCTCACACCTGTAATCCCAGCACTTTGGGAGGCCGAGTTGAGGCAAGGAGTTTGAGACCAGCCTGGGCAACATAGCAAGACCCCGTCCCTACAAAAAATTTAAAAATTAGTTGGGCATGGTGGCCCGCGCCTATATTCCCAGCTACTCAGGAGGCTGAGGTGGGAGGATCGCTTGAGCCCAGTTCAAGGCTGTAGTGAGCTCTGCTAGCACCACAGCACTCCAGCCTGGGTGAGAGAGTGAGACCCTGTCTCTGAAAATAAAAAACAAAAAAACAGAAAACAAAAAGGAGAAAATGTTTTCTTCCTTGGAAATGCCACATCTCCTCCTTGGACAGGTGCTAAAGGAACATTCTATATCACACTGACTTTCTTACCAGAGCAGCCACAGCTGCACAAACCCAGTGGGCAGCCAATTTGTCTTGTTTTCAGTTTGCTTTTTCTCTTTGACTCTATTTCCCTCTTTCTTTTCTGCTTAAATAATCTTAACATCTGTACCATTTTTAGTAGGCTGCCTTTTGGTGATAGGGAGGGCTCGACATCAGTAGAATAAACAAAAAGAGCAAGGTGACACCTTTCATCTGGCATTCAAGGCCCTCATATATTAGTTCCATATATTGGAACCTCATATATTGGGACCTTCCCAACTCATCAATGACCTCATCTCAATTGTTCTTCTTTTTTTCTTCTGAAGACAGAGTCTTGCTCTGTCACTCAGGCTGGAGTGCAGTGGTGCAATCTTAGCTCACTGCAACCTCTGCCTCCCGGGTTCAAGTAATTCTCCTACCTCAGCCTCCTGAGTGGCTGGGATTACAGGCATGCACCAACATGCCTGCTAATTTTTGTATTTTTAGTAGCGATGGGGTTTCCTCATGTTGGCCAGGCTGGTCTGGAACTCCTGGCCTCATGTGATCCACCTGCCTCAGCCTCACAAAGTGCTGGGATTACAGGCGTGAGCCACCGTACCCAGCCCTCAGTTGTTCCCTAAAGAAAATAAATGTTCCTGCCTCTGCGTCTTTGGTATTCTCACTGGTAGGTAAGCCCTTCTCTATCTCTATTGTGTCACCTTCTCCATGCCTTCAAGACCCACCTTAAAATAAAAATACTGCCTCCTCCGGGAAGCTAGCTAGAGGTGGGCTCTTCCTCCTTTGAGCTCTGACTGCACTTTTGGCCTCTCTGATGTCACTGTTCACTTTCTGTCTTATGTTAGTTATCTGGGTGCTACAAGTCAGCCTCTTCCACACACGGGGAGCTCTCTCAGAACAGGGAGTATGGCAGATTCCTCTCCATTGTCCTTGGCACCCATCATGGGGCTTGGCACACACTAAGTGCTAAGTGTTGACTGGCTGGCTGGTTGTTTGGTCGAGTGATAAATGAATGCATGAATAGAAGAAAAGATACGCAAAATAATTAAATGAGTCCTCATGGGCATAAATAAGAGAGGGAAAGAGGGAGTGAGGAAAAGAGAAGTGAATGACTGAATGAATGAATCAGAATAAAGCCTTGTAAGAGTCAGGACTTTAATCTATCATGTTCACTGCTTGAACCCCAGGACCTAGAAACCTGGTGCACAGCAGAAGCTCAGTACAATGGGCAAATGACGATTTGAGTGAATTAATAAGTGAATATCCTGGGAACATCCAGCTAGGGCAGAAAGTGACAGCATCACAAATTAATTTCCAAGGAACAGATGGCATCTCCTGCATCCTTCCCCACCTTAACCCCCACTTTCCCTTCCCAGGCGAAGGGCAGGAAAGGCTGATAAGGAAGTCACCTCTCAGGTTCTTGATGAAGTCATCTAGTTTCATCTTTCGTTCAGCCTTGACGCTGGGACTGTACATGTCGGTATTGAGGAGGATGATGGCAAAAGCAAGGATGAAGATGGTGTCTGGGTTCCGGAACTGGCGCACAAGGGCTGGGTTACAGACACAGTACCGCTGGCTGCAGGGCAGGAGGGGTCAAAGCCAGACTCAGGAAGCAGCCATCTCTGCCTATCCACCACCCACCCAGTCTGATACCAGCAACCCTTTCCTGCAAGAAATACTTTCTTGATCTCTGGGTCTGTCCTCTTCAGAGCTTCCCCTAGACCAGCATGTAAAAATTACAATCGCTACCTTTTACAGAGCTCTTCCAGGGGATTTATATACATTGTTTCATGTAATCCTATCATAATCCTGCAAGGTAGCTATTGGCAGTCCCATTTTAAAGATGAAGCGACTGAGACTCAAAGTGACAAGGTAACTTGCCCAAGGTAACAGAGCTGGTAAATGGTGAAGCCAGGATGAAAACCCAGATATTTCTAACTGCAAAGCAAATCCTTCCCCCATTGTGGGAAACAAGTTCTCAGCAACTCCTGTTTCTCTTCTAAATACCCTAAAGTGGCAGAGCCAGGATTTAGACCCCGGCCTACCTGATCTCCAAAGCATTTATAGTAGAGTAAAATGGTTAAGGGCATGGATGGATCATGGACTTAGACACATACAAGTTCAAATCCTGGTTCTACCACTTATTCACTGTATGACCCTGGGCAAGTTACTTAACCTCTCTAAACTTCTGATTTCTCCTCTATAAAATGGGAATAATAATAGAAGTGCCTACTTTATGGGGTGGTTGTGATTATTCGGTGAAATAATCGTGTAAAGTGCTCAGCTCAGCACCTGATACCTAATAAGTGCTCCGTGAATGTTAGCTGTTATTGCTGATGTTGTTGTCACTTATCGAATGCCCATGTCCCAGAGGCTGAGCTAGATACTTTACATGCACTACCTCTGATCCTCACAATTGCCTTGCAAGATAGGATTTATCATTTCTGTTTTATGGTGAAGAGAGTATGAGGCTCAGAGAAGCGACTTGTAAACACATACTACGTCGATGCCCACAGGAGGGAGGGGCAGCTTCACAAGTGGGAGACAGGCACACCTGAAGGCTTCGATGAGTCGCTCCACTTTCTGGGCCTCACCCTGAACCCGGATATGGGACTGGAACTTCCGGAGTGCATCATCCAGATCCATTGAGGAGAAGTCCATCTCATCCACCACACAGCTAAGGAGCAAAGAAGGGGGTGTGGTGCTTTCAATTCCTCTGCAGAAAACCTCTGACCCACCTGGACCTGCTCAAATGGACCAACACCCCCACTGATACACTCCCAAATTCAGGACCCATGGCCCGAGCAAGTACACATGAGGACAGAATGTTTGAAATCAAATCCATCTCAGAAAATTGAGGCAAGGCAAGTGGTCACTAAAGGCCCTTTCCATCGAGCCACTCATTTCAGAGACGGGAAAACTGAGGCCCAAAACAGGCCACAGGATGAGCACGTCTTGCCCAGGGCCACATAGAAGACTTTAGGAATAGAGCCAAACAAGATCAGACCCCTTTGGGGCAGAAGGGTACGGGGGCAGGAAGGTCTATTCATCCTGTTTTGAAAAGCTTATTTGAGCTAAAGGGACAGGCTGCCCCCTTCCTCCCTCTTGCTGTCCTTTTCCAGGAATCCCTGGCCCAGCCTGCCCCATCCTGGGGTCCTCACTCCAACACGTCTCTGTTGAACTGCTTCTGCCGGTTCCCTAGGAATTCCCCTATCATCTGCCGGCTGAGGCCTTTCCGCTCCAGGATGAAGTGAGCCACTCCCACCGGTGTGTCTGACAGGAAGCCCCGCTCGATCAGATACTGGATACCCTTCTCTGGCTTCCTGCAGAAAGAGGGGAGGTAGATGAGATGACTGTCCTCCTGGAACTGTGCTCTCTGTCTCATTTGTTGAACTCATTTTGGGCCCAACTAAGTCCGGCCTCAGAGGACCAACGAAGTCAAATACATAATTTGATCCAATCCCATCATGGCGCAAATGAGAAAACTGAGGCCTAGAGAGAAGAAGCCACTTGCCCATTTCGAGGAGCTTCAAAATCCCAAGATATCTTGAACCCAACATCCCCCTTCACTGGAGCTACACCACAATAGAAAGAAAATCAGTATCTAATGAGAGCCCGCTCTACGCCAGGAGCTCTGACCTTCCCAGCAAGAACCAAGGAGCAAGGTTGAGCACCTTCCCTGTGAGTCACAGACCCACAGAGTAGGGAAGAAGTGAAGAGGTTACTTTGTTCCATATCCCACATCCCACACAGGCAGGTCTCACCAACTTCCTCTGAGTGTTTCTATAGACAAGGTGCTCCCTAGATTTCCAGGGAGCTGGGCCAAAATCTGGGTCACAGTTATCCCATATTCAGAATCCCAGAACCTTAGGACCCCACAAGGTTAAAATTTAGAAGGGACTGGTGCCATAGGAGTCTCAGATCCGTCACTTCCCAGTTGTATGACTTTGGACAATTCCTTTTACTTCTCCAAGCCTTGGTTCCTTATCTACAAAACAGGAACACTACTGCCTGCCTTGCTGAGTTATTGTAAGAATGAAATATAGGTGGCAGTGTTTAATAAGCTATAAAGATGTAAGGCATTCAAGTAATGGCTTATATTACATTTAATGTTTTCTAATTACATCTCATGTTTTCCAATTATTTTCTAATCAAATGTCACACTCCCACCTCACTCCTAAACACCTGACAGAAGACCAGGCACCTAGGAAGAGCTTAGTCACAGTCACCGAAGGGTCTAGCACACCACCCTGCCCCCAACATGTCTCACATACACATTCTGCTAGTGGTAGGTGGAAAAATAGAAGCCCAGGGGAGGAATGCACCTTGCCCAGGGCTATGCAGCGAGTCTGGCCAAAGGCCCACTCGGGGGCCAGATCTCCTGTTTCCCAGGCTAGGGCTCTTTCTACACCATATCACCTCCCCTCTAAAAAGGGAAGGTGGGGAGGACAAGTTTCAGAATCCATTTAGTGGGGTCATCTCACCCAAGATCGCACAGTCAGCCAGAGGCAGTACTAGGACTGCCCAGGTGTGTTAAGGGACTCTCTACTCTTTCACCCTGTTGCCAATCCTCTTCCCTGAATGTCTGGGGAGAAATACCGTTCCACAAAATGAAAGGATGGCAGAACCGGGATCACTGCGTGGAGTTCTGTCCCAGGAACCCAAGTACTCGTGGCAGGGTAGGAAAGGGCGAGCAGGCTAGAACGGGCAGCACGCACTTGTTGAAAAGGTTGAGGCCGATTCGGTAGTGCCGCCTCTGGACCACATCATTGTTGAAAGCTGGCGAGTCCCAGCTGTGCCTTGTCTCCCGCTGGTAAGTCTGCTTGCACAGGCCGGTGGCCGGAGGCTCCCTTAGACTGTCCCGAGAAGAGGAGCCGGAGCTGCAGTTGATGGTCTCATTGGAATTGCTGGAGCTCTCGAGGCTCTCATTATCTCCACCATCAGAGTTCTCGCCTGCTGCCTCGCACTTCCCCAACCTCCGACCCCCAGCCACACCACTGGGCCCAGTGCCACTGTTGGGGGCTGGTGGCAGGGGCCCTGGTGGGGCTGGGGCTGGGCCCTCAGGGGCTGGGTAGTGGCGGTGTGGGATCGGGGCCCTGCCTGGTGGCCCCTTGTGCTTCAGGGTCCCATGGGGGCTGCAGCCATCAGCCTCATACACCAGCTGGCGGTGGACAGAGCCGCGATCTGAGCGGTCACTCAGGTCCACGGAGCTGTCACTAGGAGGCTCAATGGTAAGCAGGGGAAGGTGGGCGGCCCGCAGCCGGAAATCCCGGCACTCCAAGCACCCGGGACCCCTGCGAGTGCCTTCCTCACGGCTACCGTCTTCCCGGGTTCCTGATGGCACTGGTGGAGGAACTGGCGGGAGAGGGGCTGGCGCCCAGAACTCGGGCCGGCCCTGGGGTGGGGGTTCTGTGCTGGGCAGTCGCTCAGGGGATTGTTGGGGAACTGTGTCATCCAGGTAGAGGGGAAGGTCACTGAAGGATGTGGCCGAGCTGTCCTCTTGCTGTTCCTTTGACTCCCGCTTCTCCAGCTGGGCTGAACCTGGCTCCTCAGACATGGGCCCTGACGGGTGGCAGTTCAGGGCTTCGTCGATGGATTCAGCCAGAGACTTTACCTGTGCAGGCGGGGGAGGAGAGGAGGGAAAGGGAGAGAAAAGAAAGAAAGATAAAGGGAAGAATGGTGGAAGGTGGGAATGAGGGAGGGGGGTAAGGGAAAAGGGGGAGTCTTCCTGGTAGGTCAGCAAGGAGGGTGGATTCCCCTTCCCCAGCCCTGACAAACTCTCTGTGGTCTATAAAATGACTCCCAGGGAACCATTGTGAGCTCACAGGAGCTGGGACTAATGCCCACGAGTTCCCCCACTCAGCTCACACCCCAATACCTCCTTTGTGTCCATTTAGACTCAAGCCAAATGTTACCTCCTCCCTGATTCAAGCCACATTCTTGCCTCTGCCATCCCCCAGGGTAAACCAAAATCCCAGCTTCCTCTGTGGGAATTCTCTTAGGAAATCCATAACATTTGACCTTGAGCGTCTGGACCACAGCTGGTAATGCTCTTTCCCTGTGGTATCCAGACTCTAAACTGACCGCTCATGATCCCTGCCTCCTGGTATTCACACCCTAGGGTACCACATTGTACCAGAGTTAGTCTGTGTGACAAACAGCATATGGCAGAAGTGAATGTATGTCACTTCTGAAATTAGGTTTTAAAAGACTGCAGAGGCTGGGCATGGTGGCTCATGCCTGTAATCCCAGCACTTTGGGAGGCCAAGATGGGAGGATCCCTTGAGCCCAGGAGTTCAAGAAAAGCCTGGGCAACATGGCGAGACTCTACCTCTACAAAAAATAAAAACATTAGCTGGGTGTGGTGGTATACACCGGTAGTCCCAGTTACTCAGGAGAGTGAGGCAGGAGGATCACTTGAGCCCAGGAGTTTGAGACTGCAGTGAGTTATGATCACGCCACTGCACTCCAGCCTGGCAACACAGCAAGATCCTGTCTCTAAAATTTTTATTTGTTTTTTTGAGACAGAGTCTCGCTCTTGCCCAGGGTGGAGTGCAGTGGCACGATCTCAGCTCACTGCAACCTCCAACTCCCAGGTTCAAGCGATTCTCCTCCCTCAGCCTCCCCAGTAGCAGGGATTACAGGCACACACCACCATGTTTGGCTAATTTTTATATTTTTAGTAGAGACGGGGTTTCGCCATGATGGACAGGCTGGTCTCAAACTCCTGACCTCAGGTGATCCGCCTGCCTTGGCCTCCCGAAGTGCTGAGATTACAGGTGTGAGCTACTATGCCCGGCCAAAAAAAAAATTATTTAAATTTAAAAAAAAAAGACTGCAAAAAAATTTTTTTTAATTTACAAAATTAAAAAAAAAATTTAAATGACTGCAGCTTCCATCTTGAGCACTCTTGGTCGCTTGTCACTTGTACTCTTTCTCTCAGACCCCCCAGCCTGGGGAAAGCCCATCACGAACAGTCCTATAGAGAGGCCCACAGGGTGAGGCATTGAATCCTCCTGCCAACAGCCAAGCGAGTGAGCTTGAAAGCAGACTGCCAGCCCCAGTCTAGTCTTCAGATATTGCAGGCTCTCCCTACAGCTTGACTGCAACCTCATGAAAGGCCCTGAACCAAAACCACTCAGCCATGCCATTCCCAGCTTCCTGGCCCCCAGAAGCTGTATGAGATAATAAATGTTTATGGTTTAGGCTCAGTCTCTTGGGTCAGTTTTAAGCTACCAAATTTGGGGGTAATTTGTTACACAGCTAACAGATAACGGATATGCTTCCCCATCAGACTTCAATAGCACTCAGAGCTGGGACCAGACCTGGTTCCCAGACTGATCTCCTATTCCCCATTCCTCCCTTGAGGGGTGGATCCAGGCCTGGTTTCTCTTTCTAGCTCAGCTCAACACATTGCTTGACACAGAAGAGATGTTCAATTAAATCTTTGTGGTATGAATGAACAGATAAATGATATAGATCTTCCCTTCAATATTCCTGTCCTTCCCTCCACCTCTTCACCAGGTCCAAGGAGGCATGCCCAGGCTGATGGCAAGGCCAGATCATAGAGGTTAGAGCAGAGTGACTTTTTCTCTTATAAGGCTTCATCCATTCATTCAACAATCTCTACCAAGTACCTTCTTGGTTTTAGGAAGAAAACTAACATGTACTTAGCAGCTACTATGTACTAGGCGTTTTCAGATATATTACCTGTATAGTTGCACTGAGTCTTCCAAATAGCTCTAAAAGGGTTTTCTCTCCATTTTATTTTCTCTCCATTTTATTGATCATGTTTCAGTGTGGTTAAACAGTTTGCCAAGGCCACACAGTTGGGAAATGGCAGAACTGGGATTCACATCTGGGCAAGTATGTTGACACACCCCAACCCTAGAACGATCTCCCACTACCTTTACTGCGTTACAATCCCACCCCTCCACGCTTTTGCTGATGCAACGCCTATGTAAGCAACACCCTTCCAAGTATTTCTAACTTGCTAAATCTTTTCTGTCTGGCAAAGCCCATCTCCAATGCTGTTTTCTAAAGTGGGTTTTCTGTGGTTCTCCCAGAAGAAAGTTTCCTCCCCTTCCTCTGGGTTCCTAAGGTACCATACATTGTACTATATCGCCTTTCTCATGTCTCAGAGCACACTCTACTTCAGGAGACAGTAATGCACACATGTCTGCCATTTCCTACTGCACTGGGATCCTTGAGGACAAGGACCAATTCCAGGTCCTTAGCCTCAGTCTCCTCCTCTATTAAATGGGAATAATAATCCCTGTCTCACAGGTCTGGTGTGAGGCATACACAGCACTGGCACACAGTAGGAGCTCATTACCTGTGAGTTAAGCTTTATTTTATAGTAGATCAAGTTCCAAGTAGTGAGAACTTTTTTCTTATTTGTTCTATACCCCCATATATATTTTTTCCCACAAGAAGGGAACAGCATGGAACACCCATATTTGTAACTTGCTTGTTTTAACAATGTAATTTCTGGCTGGGCGCAGTGACTCACGCCTGTAATCTCAGCACTTTGGGAGGTCGAGGCAGGTGGATCACCTGAGGTCACGAGTTTGAGACCAGCCTGGCCAACATGGTGAAACCCTGTCTCTACTAAAATACAAAATGAGCTGGGCGTGGTGGCACATGCCTGCAATCCCAGCTACTCCGGAGAGTGAGGCAGGAGAATCACTTGAACCCAGGAGGTGGAGGTTACAGTGAGCCAGGATCGTGCCATTGCACTCCAGTCTGGGTGTCAAGAGCGAAACTCTGTCTCAAAAAAAAAAAAAAAGTAATTTCTATCTTGCCAGTTCTTTCTCATTATTCTCACAGTCCCAACTCAAATGGTAGCTATTTGCTGTTATTAAACGCCTGTCACGCAACTTCTTTCAGTTTGCAATCTAGGTAAAAAGTAGCAGGAGTAGCCAGAGCATGGGGATGGAGAAGAAAGGCCCTTTTCAGGGATCCTGACCTGTTTGGAGAAGGAGTCCTCTAGTTCTGTGATGTCATTAGAAAACTCTCCAGATGTGGTGACGGAGCTTCCACCACCATCGATGCCCCCACCACAGGAGCCCCCATATGGGAGCCCCCGTTCAAGCCGGTGGCTCCGGGCACCAGCCATGGCACCCTCGTCCAGCGAGGCAGGCTTGCCCTCGAAGTACGCGGGGTTCTGTGCCTTCTCATACTCCTCAAAGGAGAACTGCATCCGCATGTTGGAAAGGATGATGCGGCGGGACATGCGGCTCTCTGAGGCTGAGCTGCGTAGCCGCTCAAAGTTCTTGTTCATGCGGTACTGGCGGAAGGCTGTCTGGATGGTCCTGGCAGCTCTGCGGCTCAGGAAGGAGCCCCCATACTTCCTCTCCAGCATTTCCACCTGGCAGAGAAGGGTCGAGGGGAACAAGGTCAGAAAGTCATGGCAGCCTCATCTCCCTAGGCACTAAACCACACCACCCCCACTGGAGTCACCGCTGACTGCTTACAGCCACCAAAAGCGCCAGGCTAGGTGCTCAGTGTTGTCTCCTCACTTGAATTTCAGATAACACTGGTCAAATGGGATTGGATTATGTTTTGTTTTCTTATTTGCAAGAAGAACATATTGATCATTTGAAAACAGGAAACAAACAGAGAAGCCGATAAAAAGAAAGCAAGGTAAAAATACATGGAGAGCAAGAAGGAAAGAAAGGAGGAAGAGAGAGAATGAGAAAGGACAAAGAGAGAGGGAGAGAGAAAGGAAGAGAAGGAAGGAAGGGGAGGAGGG